AAAAGGAAATGAAATCAGTATGTCAAAGGGACACCTGCACATCCCTGTTCATCGCAGTACCACTCACAACAGTCAACACATGGAATCAAGTTATGTGCCCATGAATGGATAAATGGACAAAGAAAATGTGTATACATGTGCAGGATAGAATACTACTCAGCCTTCAAAAGGGAATCCCTGGCACTTGTGAGAGCCTGTCTGAACCTGGAGGATATCATATTAAGTCAAAGAAGCCTGGCACAGGAAGGCAAATCCTCACTACTTCAGTTATGTGTGGAATTTGAATCTAGTGAAAAATAGAGAGCAGAAGAGTGGTACCAGGGGCTGGGACAGGAGGGAGTATTGGGAGATGTTGGTCAAATAATACAAAATTTCAGTTAGGGGTAATAAGTTGGAGAGTTCTATTGTGTAACATATTGACAACATTTAATAAAAATCTATTATACACTTCAAAATCTCTATGGGAATGCATTTTAAGAATTCTTGCCATGTAAAGGTAGAACTGTGAGATTATGTATATGTTATCAGAAGTTAAAGTTTTATTCAAAGTTTGCATCATGTCTAATTCTTTACTTAGATATCCCACTGGCTGGGAAGTGGCCCCTAATGATTAAGTAATCATTCCTAGTGCCACTCATTCCTTTCTGTAACATATAATTGAAAAGTTGACTGAGTGGCCAAGCCCAGATCAGAGGCCTGGATAACAGCTATTCTTAATGTATCAAAGGCTTTCCTTGCCTCTGGAGTCCAATTAATAATTTCCTATGAATGTCCTGTGCTTCCTTAAGGCACAGATAGAGGATCCCTTCACAGAATATGCAGGGATCCAAATTCTACAATATCCAATTGTTCTCAGAAAAATCCTCAGTTATTTTATTGTCTGAGAAAGGGGATAAGAGAGTATGGGTCAAATTCTTTCTAGGCCAAGCTTTCCAGTTTCACATTCAAGTATCATAACCAAGTATGATATATAAGAGGCACAACTGAGCCTTTTCTCAGGAGACTTTATATCCCCTGGTGGGCAGGAAATTGAGAAGAGAGCTAGTGTCCTCAGATTATTATTTTTTCCGAAGGTCCACACAAAAGAAGGTCATCTACTTATTGAAGTAACACTGTATCTGATTATGACCAGTCCATGAGGTCTTATGGCAGTGCTTGTACAAACAGATGGGGACTGTCTCTAAATTCCTGGGGGGTGGACTGTCCAGATAACTTGTCCTGCCTCATAAGTAGGGTCCTCAAAGGCAAATAGAGGTTGGCTTTTGGGATGTAAAGGGATACAGAAAAAAAGGCATCCTTTAAGTCTAGGGGGGTACGATAAATAGTTCCCTTGGGAATCTGCATAAAGGAGAGTATATGGATTTGGAACAACTGCATTCACAGGGATTACTGCTTTATTGATTATATGAAGATCCTTAACTAATCTCCAATTATTGGGGCCCTTTGGGACCCCAATATAGAAGTATTATAAGGGCTAGAACTTTATCAAAAGTCCCTATCATTTCAAACTTAGTATGGTAAGTATCAATCCCTTCCTAGCTTCAGGTTTTAAGGGATACTGCTTTTGTGAGGAAAGTTGAAATGATCGTTAAGATAAATTTCAACAGGGGTTGCAGCCCATACCATTCCCACTGTATTGCTATCTGACCAAACTATGGGGTCCACCTCTGTCTCTATTAAAGGTAGGCAGCTATATTCCTCAGGTGGCAACAACTTGACCCTCAATTGAGATAACAGGTCTCTTCCTAAGATAGGGGTTAAGGTCTCTGGTATAATGAGAAAGGGAAGACAGAAGTGGAAATAATCCCAGGAACAAGCAAGAGATCTATTTAAGTATCTCTAAAGGGGCTGGCATGATATGCCCCACTTTATCTTGGGACCAAGGTACAGGAGAGAAGGACATGACTGAGAATTGAGCTCCCATATCAAGAAGAAAGTTTATCTGGTGCCTGTCCATGAGCAAGTTTAGCTGGGGCTCCTCAAGTTGGACTTCAATCATGGGAGCCATAAAGGAATCTCCTGGGATTAATAATGGGAACTGATAGGCAATGGCCTTGTTCCTCTCAGGTTCCAAGGACATCTAGCCTTCCAATGGTTCCCCTGACACAGAAGACAAGGTCCGGGAAGCCATCCTATAGGTGGTCGATGCCTCTAGGGACAATCCTTTCTGAAATGGCCTTATTTCTTATAAGAGAAACAGCACTTACTTGCTTGGCTACCTTCAATTCTCCATGTAGTTTGTCCTTTTTTATCATTTTCTAGGTCCCAATTATAAAAGACCATTGTAGCAACCTGGACTAATTGGCCCAAGGTTTTTTCTGGTTCTGCAGCCAGTTTTGGGAGTTTCTTCCATTTGTCTGGGAGAGGTTTAGGTCAATAATTTATCTTTAAGAATTATTTCCTAATGGATGGCATTAGAGCAGATTATGCTCAGTGAAGCTAGCCAATCCCTAAAAAACAAAT